CTCTGCTGGAATGCTAAGCTGGCTAGGCAATCTAGCAGGGCATTGCTAAATATAGTGTAAAAAATGCTCTGCTGGAATGCTAAGCTGCTAGGCAATCAAGCAGAGCATTACGAAATATAGTGTATAAATGCTCTGCTGGAATGCTAAGCTGGCTAGGCAATCTAGTAGAGCATTACGAAATATAGTGTAAAAATGCTCTGCAGGAATGCTCAGCTGGCTAGGCACTATAGCAGAGCATTCCTTAATATAGTGAAAAAATGCTCTGGTGGAATGCTCAGCTGGCTAGGCAATCTAGCAGAGCATTACTAGATAAAGAGTAAAAATGCTCTGCTGGAATGCTCAGCTGGCTAGGAACTATAGCAGAGCATTCCTTAATATAGTGAAAAAATGCTCTGCTGGAATGCTCAGCTGGCTAGGCAATCTAGTAGGGCATTACTAAATATGGTGTAAAAATGCTCTGCTGGAATGCTAAGCTTCTAGGCAATCTAGCAGAGCATTACGAAATATAGTGTAAAAATGCTCTGCTGGAATGCTAAGCTGGCTAGGCAATCTAGCAGAGCATTCCTAAATATAGTGAAAAAAAAATGCTCTGCTGGAATTCTAAGCTGGCTAGGCAATCTAGCAGGGCATTCCGAAATATAGTTAAAAAATTCTGTGGTGGAATGCTCAGTTGGCAGACTAATTCTGAGTTCCAGGATTTATTGTTGCCAAACTTTTATTGACATGTTCGACTTCTAGGCAATTCTGAGGCACTCGCAGACTTTCAGGTATTTTCGGTGCCAATAGAAATAATGATATTTTTGACTTCTAAGGACCTTTAAGAGACTATTTCATTGTCCTGCGACTTTTTGAAGGACACTCGCAGACTTTCAGGAATTTTGGTGCCAATGCTGATATTGACAATTAAGACTTCTAGGGACCTTCAAGAGTCCATTTTGGTCGTCTGCGACTGATTCTTGGACACTCGCAGACTTTCAGGAATTGTTGGTGCCAATGGAAATAATCATATTTTTGACTTCTAGGGACATTTAAGAGTCCATTTCATTGGCCTGCAGCGTATTGTTGGACACTCGCAGACTTTCAGGAAAGTTTGGTGCCAATAGAGATGATGGCACTTTTTTTTACTTCTAGGGACCCGCCAGAGTCCATTTTGTTGGTCTGCGACTGATTCTGGGACATTCGCAGACTTTCAGGAATCTCTGGTGCCAATGGAGATAATGACATTTTTGACTTTTAGGGAACCGCCAGAGTACATTTCTTGGGTCTGCGACTGATTCCTTGAGACTCGCAGACTTTCAGGATGTTTAGTGCCATTGCAGATCATGACTTTTTTACTTTTAAGGACCCCTTAGTCATAAGCAGAGCATTTTTACCCTAAAATGTCATTATCTGCATTAGCACCAAAAATTCCTGAAAGTCTGCAAGTGCCCAATAATCAGTCGCAGACCAACGAAATAGACTCTGGCTGGTCAAAAATGTCATAAATTGTAATTATCTCTATTGGCACCAACAATTCCTGAAAGTCTGTGACTGTCAAAGATTAAGTCGCAGACCAAAAAAATGGACCCTGGATGGTCCCTAGAAGTAAAAAAAATCATTATCTGCCTTGACATCAAAAATTCCTGAAAGTCTGTGAGTGCCTCAGAATCAGTCGCAGACCAAAAAAATGGATTCAGAAAGGTCCCAATAAGTCAGAAATATCATTTTCTGCATTGACACCAAAATTCCTGAAAGTCTGCCAATGACTCAGAATCAGTCGCAGACCAACGAAATAGACTCAGGAGGGTCCTTTTGAAGTAAAAATGTCATTATCTCCATTGGCACCGAAAATTTCTGAAAGTCTGCGAGTGTTCCAGAAACATTCGCAGACCAACGAAATGGACTCTGGATGGTCCTAAAAATTCACAAATGTCATTATCTGCATTAACACCAAAAATTCCTGAAAGTCTTCGATCGTCCCAGAATCAGTCGGAGACCAAAGAAATAGACACTTGAGGGTCCCGTAGAAGTAAAAAATGTCATTATCTGCATTGGCACTAAATATTTTTGAAAGTCTACGAGTGCCAAATAATCAGTTGCAGACCAACGAAATTTATACTTTATTTAAGAATGCCCTGCTAGTTTGCCTAGACAGCTCAGCATTCCGGCAGAACATTTTTACACTAATTTTTAGAATGCTTTGCTGGATTGCCTAGCCAGCTGAGCATTTTTAACACTATATTTAGGAATGCCCTGCTAGATTGCTTAGCTAGCTGAGCATACCAGCAGAGCATTTTTCGCACTATATTTTGGAACGCTCTGCTAGATTGCTTAACCAGCTGAGCTTGCCAGCAGAGCATTTTTACACTATATTTAGGAATTCTCTGCTGGATTGCCTAGCCAGCTGAGCATTTTTAACACTATATTTAGGAATGCCCTTCTAGATTGCCTAGCCAGCTGAGCAAATCAGCAGAGCATTTTAACATTACATTTTGGAATGTCCCGCTAGATTGCTTAGCCAGCTGAGCATAACAGCTAAGCATTTTTACACTATATTTAGGAATGCCCTGCTAGATTGCCTAGCCAGCTGAGCATACGAGCAGATCATGTTTACACTATATTTTGGAATGCTCCGCTAGATTGCTTACCAAGCTGAGCATAACAGCAGAGCATTTTTACACTATATTTTGGAATGTCCCGATAGATTGCTTAGCCTGCTGAGCATAACAGCAGAGCATTTTTACACTATATTTTGGAATGCCCCGCTTGATTGCTTAGCCAGCTGAGCGTAACATCAGAGCATTTTTACACTATATTTTGGAATGCCCCGCTAGATTGCTTAGCCAGCTGAGCTTAACAGCAGAGCATTTTTACACTATATTTTGGAATGCCCCACTAGATTGCTTAGCCAGCTGAGCATAACAGCAGAGCTTTTTACGCTATATTTAGGAATGTCCCGCTAGATTGCTTAGCCAGCTGAGTATAACAGCAGAGTATTTTTTACACTATATTTAGGAATGCCCTGCTAGATTGCCTAGCCAGCTGAGCATACCAGCAGAGCATTTTTACACTATATTTTGGAACGCCCCGCTAGATTGCCTAGCCAGCTGAGCATACCAGCAGAGCATTTTTACACTATATTTAGTAATGGCCTGCTAGATTGCTTACCCAGCTGAGCATACCAGCAAAGCATTTCTACACTTTATTTTGGAATGCTCTGCTAGATTGCTTAGCCAGCTGAGCTAACGGCAGAGCATTTTTACACTATGCTTTGGAATGCCCCGCTTGATTGCTTAGCTAGCTGAGCATAACAGCAGAGCTTTTACACTATATTTTGGAATGCCCCGCTAGATTGCTTAGCCAGCTGAGTATAACAGCAGAGTATTTTTTACACTATATTTAGGAATGCCCTGCTAGATTGCCTAGCCAGCTGAGTATACCAGCAGAGCATTTTTACACTATATTTTGGAACGCCCCGCTAGATTGCCTAGCCAGCTGAGCATACCAGCAGAGCATTTTTACACTATATTTAGTAATGGCCTGCTAGATTGCTTACCCAGCTGAGCATACCAGCAAAGCATTTCTACACTTTATTTTGGAATGCTCTGCTAGATTGCTTACCCAGCTGAGCATAACAGCAGATCATTGATTTCCCTATATAAATCGTAATGCCTTTTTGCTTAGCTCACTGTTAACTGCTAACTTCTCACATACAATACATTTCATGAATATCTATCATTCATGTTGTATTCATATAATATTATACAGACGATTATGAAACATACAAATTGCACGACAGATAAAATTATTTATCAGGCGTCTTGATCGTGTAAGTAGTTTACATTATAAATGAAGCATTATACATGTACAGTGTAATAGATTTTATCAGCTGTACATATTTATTTTAATCGTTGAACATTTTAAAGCAGCATGCCTCCATATTTACTCCAATTTTCATGAACATTTTGAAGATTTACGTCAGATTAAAATAATGTAAACAGTACAAAAAGGTAATTTCCTCATTGCAAACAACACTTGATATCCATGTAAATTACTGAAAAAGGTCAAAATATAAAATTATAGTCATTATGACGTTAGTCACGCAGTAAAAATATGATGATAAATACTGCAAAAATCAGTCTTTAATCGCACTTAACATGTAAGTTATCACTAAGTACATTTGTCTCAAGTTTAATTTTTCTTGAAATATTTTGGCTCATCTTGAAGCATATATCTTTAAAACGGGTATTTCATTTACGAACTTACTGGTTAGGACAGGCGAATCACAGACGTGTCAGTAATGAAATAGTTAAAAAGCAACCATACATTTTACTTAATTAACTGCTAACTAGATTATATATGTGACGTATGTTGCAATACTTTGATAACTGTTTCAACAAATGAATATGATTTTTCTTTGGAGACATTTAATAAGCCTAAGAACATTTCAAGGTGAATAAATGTTGTTCCAATTCGTTTATGTCTAAACACCCCGACTCTCAAATAAATTCAACTATTATCAGCAGCTTGACCCTTAAATCATCAATTATTCAGCCTCTCCTGTTTCGTTAGTTTCAGGTAGTTTCAGTAATTTGGTTTCCTAGTGGTTAGGATTAATATTAAAGGCACATTATGCATCAAAAAAAAGAAATAACTTTCTATTTGTTTAAAAAGGCCAAACAAATTTTATATTTAAACAGTTGTTTTAGAAAAAAAACTTAGATGCTTATTACCTGGAAAGTAGCGATAAAAATGAAAAAAAAAATGTTATAAAATGTAAACAAAAGAGTAATTTGACTTCCATACAAAATACTTATTTACCATAACTGTACTTATTGCTAAAAAAAGCAACAGATGAAAATGATGGTTCCAGTAATAGGCCAATGATTAACTCTTTGGGTATATAAAAAGTACACCAAAATTAGAAAACCTTTTGAGAAATATAATAAAAGCTTTTCTGAGGCATAATGGACCTTTGAAAAAATGCTCTTAATTATAAACGTTTATTTAGGGATTTACAGTGGTGGAGGGGTTCTTCAGTCCAGAGGAGATACAGCCCTGCCTAGACTCATACGCTCGCCTTGTCGACGGACTGGCTCACAAGCTTTATGATTCCGGACGAATTAAAAGTAAATCATAAATAAAGTTTTATTATTTCAAATACTATCCAGTGTGATAATAAATAACAAAAATCATTTTTAGAAGAGAAAAAAAAACTTTAAAAGTAATCATATCGGAATCTTGAAAAGAACAATGCATTTGTTTGTTTAAATAGATCCATTTGCTTATGTTATGATAAGACATAATATGTCAGGGCTTTTACGGGGTTTAACGAAGTATTCCCGAATGCAGAATAATTTTTTACCATATTTACATATTCTTGTTTGTATGTAATAAATTAGCAGTTAACAGTGAGCTAAGCAAAAAGGCATTACGATATATATAGGGAAATCAGTGATCTGCTGTTATGCTCAGCTGGGTATGCAATCTAGCAGAGTATTCAAAAATAAACTGTAGAAATGGGGCTTTGCTGGTATGCTCAGCTGGTTAAGCAATCTAGCAGGCCATTACTAAATATAATGAAAAAAATGCTCTGCTGGTATGCTCAGCTGGCTAGGCAATCTAGCGGGGCATTCCAAAATATAGTGTAAAAATGCTCTGTTGGTATGCTCAGCTGGCTAAGCAATCTAGCGGGGCATTCCAAAATATAGTGCAAAAAATGCTCTGCTGGTATGCTCAGCTGTCTAAACAATCAAGCTGGCATTCCAAAACATAGTGTACAAAATGATCTGCATGTATGCTCAGCCGGCTAAGCAATCTAGCAGGGCATTCATAAATATAGTGTAAAAAATACTCTGCTGTTATACTCAGCTGGCTAAGCAATCTAGCGGGGCATTCCAAAATATAGTGTAAAAGCTCTGCTGTTATGCTCAGCTAGCTAAGCAATCAAGCGGGGCATTCCAAAGCATAGTGTAAAAATGCTCTGCCGTTAGCTCAGCTGGCTAAGCAATCTAGCGGAGCATTCCAAAATATAATTAAAAATGCTCTGCTGTTATGCTCAGCGGCTAAGCAATCTTGCGGGGCATTCCAAAATATAGTGTAAACATGATCTGCTGAATTGCTCAGCTGGCTAGACAATCTAGCAGGGCATTCCTAAATATAGTGTAAAAATGCTCTGCTGAATTGCTCAGCTGGCTAGGTATTCTAGCAGGGCATTCTTAAATATAGTGTTGAAAATGCTCAGCTGGCTAGGCAATCCAGCAAAGCATTCTAAAAATTAGTATAAAAATGTTCTGCTGAATGCTGTGCTGTCTAGGCAAACTAGCAGGGCATTCTTAAATAAAGTATAAATTTCGTTGGTCTGCAACTGATAATTTGGCACTCGTAGACTTTCTGAATATTAGTGCCATGCAGATAATGACATTTTTTGACTTCTACGGGACCCTCAAGTGTCTATTTAATGGTCTTTGACTGATTTGGGACGATCGAAAGACTTTCAGGAATTTTTTGGTTAATACATATAATGACCATTTGTGAATTCTAAGGAGCATCCAGAGTCCATTTCGTTGGTCTGCGAATGTTTCTGGAACACTCGCCGACTTTCAGAAATTTTCGGTGCCAATGGAGATAATGACATTTTTACTTCAAAAGGACCCACCTGAGTCTATTTTGTTGGTCTGCGACTTGAGTCACTCGCAAACTTTCAGGAATTTTATTGTTAATGCAGAAAATAATATTTCTGACTTATTTGGACCTTCCTGAATCCTTTTATTTTTTGTCTGCAACTGATTCTGAGGCACTTACAGACTTTCAGGAATTTTTTATGTCCAGGCAGATAATGACATTTTTTACTTCTAGGGATCATCCACGGTCCATTTTTTTTGGTCTGCGACTTATTCTTGGACAGTCACAGACTTTCAGGAATTTTGGTGCCAATAGAGATAATTACAATTTTGACATTTTTGACCATCCAGAGTCTATTTCGTTGGTCGGCAACTGATTATTAGGCACTTGCAGACTTTCAGGAATTTTTGGTGCTAATGCAGATACTGACATTTTAGAGTAAAAATGCTCTGCTTATGACTAAGGGGTCCTTAAAAGTAAAAAATGTCATGATCTGCAATGGCACTAAACATCCTGGAAGTCTGCGAGTCTTAAAGAATCAGTCGCAGACCCAAGACATATACTCTGGCGGTTCCCTAGAAGTCAGAAATGTCATTATCGCCATTGGCATCAATAATTCCTGAAAGTCTGCGAATGTCCCAGAATCAGTCGCAGACCATAAAAATGGACTCTGGCGGGTCCCTTGAAGTCAAAAATATGATTATTTCCATTTGCACCAACCATTCCTGAAAGTCTGCGAGTGTCCGAGAATTAGTCGCAGACCAACAAAATGGACTCTTAAGGGTCCCTAGAGGTTGAAATTGTCAATATCAGCATTGACACCAAAATTCCTGAAAGTCTGCGAGTGTCAATCAAAAAGTCGCAGGACAATGAAACAGTCTCTTAAAGGTCGTAAGAAGTCAAAAATATCATTATTTCTATTGGCACCAATAATTCCTGAAAGTCTGCGAGTGTCTCAGAAGTGCCTAGAAGTCGTAAATGGCAATAAAACGTTGACAACAATAAATCCTGGAACTTAGAATCAGTCTGCCAGCTTAGCATTCCAGCAGAGCTTATTAATACTATAATTCAGAATGCACCGCAAGATTGCTTATCCAACACAGCATTTTCACTCTATTTTTCAAAATGTTCTGCTAGGTTGACTAGCCAGCTTAGCACTCCAGCAGATCATTTTTACACTATATTTAGTAATGCTCTGCTTAATTGCAAAGACAGCTGAGTATTGCAGCAGAGCAATTTAACACATTATTTAGGAATGCCCTACTAGATTGCTTAGCCAGCTAAGCATTCCAGCAGAGCATTTTTTACACTATATTTAGTAATGCTCTGCTAGATTGCCTAGCCAGCTTAGCATTCCACCAGAGCATTTTTTCATTAAATTTAGGAATGCCCTGCTAGACTGCCTAGCCAGCTTAGCATTCACACAGAGCATTTTTACACTATATTTAGTAATGCCCTGCTAGATTGCCTAGCCAGCTTAGCATTCCAGCAGATCATTTTTACCCTATATCAAGTAACACCCTGCTAGATTGCCTAGCCAGCTAAGCATTCCAGCAGAGCATTTTTTCACTATAACTAGGAATGCTCTGCTAGATTGCCTAGCCAGCTTAACATTCCAGAATAGCATTTTTACATTATATTTAGAAATGCCCTGCTTGATTGCCTAACCAGCTAAGCATTCCAGTGGAGCATTTTTACATTATATTTAGTAATGCCCTGCTTGATTGCCTAGCCAGCTTAGCTAGCCAGCTGAGCATTCCAGCAGAGCATTTTTACACTATATTTTGTAATGTACTGCTAGATTGCCTAGCCAGCTGAGCGTTCCAGCAGAGCATTTTTTCACTAAAGCTAGGAATGCTCTGCTAGATTGCCAAGACAGCTGAGTATTGCAGCAGAGTATTTTACACTATATTTAGGAATGCCCTGCTAGATGCCCAAAACAGCTGAGCATTACAGCAGATCATTGACTTCCCTATATATATTGAAATGCCTTTTAGCTTAGCTCACTGTTCACTGCTAACTTTTCACGTTCTTCTTGTTTTTTCAGATTTATACAAAGATCTTAATCTAAGTGACAGGCTTATTGCTCTAGAAAAGGAATGGCCGGGTGCTGTTCTCCTTCTTCTGAAGACAAACAAACTCACTCCTGTAAGTATTGTAACAACAACAACGAAAACATTGATAACAACATCGACAAAAGAGGATTTATGTATGGAATCAAAATCACTCAGAGCAATTAGAATACTTTAAATACGATACATTTAGTAAACGTGTCCGTCCAGGTTTACAAGAGAGTAAAAAATAAGAAGAAGGTCAAATACCTTTCGGACAGAATGATTTGTTGATAAGTATGAAGCAAGATTTGTCAATAATCAGGAAATGGGGACTGCAACAGTTAATTCACGTAAAAAAGAATAGATAATATATGTATTATCATCATGATTAAACTTAAAAAATATTTTGTAGGTTACTTTAATCAATACGGGTACGCTACTTCACAACCTCGTCTGAATGTACAAGGACGTTTTTTAAATTTACAAGGCATACTTTTAAGGTCTTATCATGAATTTTGCTAAAATCATTTCCAGGAGTTCCGTGATCTGTATCAGAACAGTAAGTTACTTGACGCAATGGAACAACTTATCGGACCGGAAATAGGTGCGAGCCCCGTCTGGAACACCAGGCCAAAGACGCCGGGTCACAGAGAAACGGATGTTCCCTGGCATCAAGGTAAAATTCAAACATTTGATTGCTTGTTAAAACCTCATATTCTAAACAGACGACGATTCAAGAAAGAAGGAGAATCTGCATTTTTGAATGTCACTAATGATTATAGATTTTGTAACTAATTTATGCAAACGTACTATATACTTTATTAAGATAAAAATATAGAGGGTGCGTTCAAAAATATATGCGTTTTGTGTGGGTATTTCAAAATGACAGTGAAATTGTCTCCCTTAGATTCAGCGTACTTTGACGATGAGAGTTACCAAACTTTGATAGCAACAGCGTGGGTAGCTTTTGTTGATGCAACGCCTGAAAATGGGTGTATGCAGGTAATGTTCTTTAGTTTATTGTTTGCAATAACAGAACAGCAAAGATAAATCTGTATAATTCATTGCTGAAAAGAAAAATAACGGATCTTGTCATTTGCTTACATTTAAGAAATAATGCAGCGGCCATGTATAACACGAACGGACTGAGCTATTAGGAACACGTTGCCAAGAATGCATGATCAACTCTCTGATATTCTTACAAAATATTTCTTTAACAAAACTGCTGATCTAATTCTACATGATTTAATATAGCATTTATACATGTATTATGAATTACCAATATTTTTTTCTAGAACATATTATTATCAACATATACATTAAATTCTTGGATGGTTTAAGATAACATAAATATTTATTGTATTACATACTTTCCATCATTGACCAATTCACTTTAAGTATCCTTTTTGCAATTAGAATTAAAAAAATGAAGATAGTATGCATCTACGTTATATGTTAGGTGAATATAATACCAAAATCTTTCAAGCATATTGTTTTGCATACTTTTGCAAATTGATAACTGCCATTCACCGCTGTGGGTTCGAATCCTGCCAGGAATCTCAGGATTCTTTCATGTGAGGAAACTATTCAGCAAATGTACGGAACGTCGGTGGTACTACTCAAGTTCCTGTTCGAGCACGGTGGTGCACCAGAGCATTTTATGTATCAGTAATGCTGTACAGTCGTTATATGACCTTACTGTATTGGTTTTTAATGTCTAACAATTTACAAATCCTAATAAGAAGTTTAAAAAAAATATTAGGAGAAATAAGATTCTTATTTCTTTTTTCCTTTTTTGTTTAAAAACTTTTTAGATCCAAATTAGGTTGCTGTTTTATATTTAGACTTTTGAAGATCCTCCTAATTTATTTATTTCTGAACTCGTAATACTATCTTCATTTCTCTGAATAAGGCGTTTAAAATTTCTTATTAAGTGCTAATAAGTTGTTATTCCGTTAATTTCTCCTACTTTTGAGTACTAAACATTCATATCAAGTTGGAAGTAACAACTTATGATAAGATTTTCTATCTCTCCTATTAAAGTGTATCAATGTCATAATTAGGCGTTCACTCCTAAAATTGAAAAAGCCCTTATATATTTAAACTGCTTAACAGAAGAAATAAAGTTCTTATTAATCTTTTAAGACTCCTGAATACAAGTTAAACAGTTTTTAAAGAACATTAAGATTTTGCACCACACGGTTCCGTATACCAAAACAATTTTGATAACGCTGTCATTTTATTAGAGATTTCCGACAATGTGACCACATTAAAACATCGAGAACATGTAAGGACAGTAACCGTGCGACCACATATACGCATCATATGAGTTCCCTTCTCTTACGAGAAAGGGACAACGAGCTGTCCGCACACTTAAAAATATGGCATTTCCATATTGTTATTAATAAAGAGGCTTATTTTCACATATATGCATTGAATTGGTTTATATACAACAATAGTAGGGGATCTGTTTTTGTCATATTAAGTCCGCTATAAAATAAATAGTTGTTATGAATAGTATAAATTAATTAAATTTTGCAAAATATGAACGTTTCAAAAACGTTTTATATATGCATCAAATATATGAGATAAATTTCACACTTAGCCATGGACCATTTTTGCCAACGTACGCATTTAATTTCTGTATTAGCGGATTACGGGAAGGGCCGAAAAATCATAAGTTGACCAAAAGTTGCTATATAATTTTATCAAGTTATTTATTTTTATATTTTACAGTTCATGAAAGGAGGGCAAAAGAAAGGTTTAGTCGTTGTGCACGAGTGCTGTGATAATTTCTATCTCACAATAAAGGAAGAGGAACTGATAGAGAGGCTGGGTAAGGAAATCTTAATAATTTGCATGCCGGGAAATATGTCGTCTGCTTAAAATGTCGTCTGTCTTGTACCTGGCATCTCAGCATCTGTTCTGGTACGAGGCTGCTGTTTGCAAAAGATATTGTGATCACTCAGATCAGGCTAAAGGTTAACATATTAATTAAATGCCACTTATTTCTGTGGTGAGAACTACAAAATGGCTGCACGGTAACAATATTTCTTGACAGAATATATAATATATTTGAACAAAAGTGAACTTTTAAAAACAATTATTTTTATTTATTTCCTTAATGGCACATTAGATTTAAGATATGCACGCAGAAAGAACGAATTTCATAAAAATAAAGTCAACATTTTATTCGGACTACTTTTTTACAGGTGCAAATCCGAAGACCGACTTCATTACATGCCCAGTTAAAGCTGGCGGAGTGATTTTCTTCAATAATATGGTGCCTCATAAAAGGTTCGTCAGTTTATACCTAAAATCTAATTCATTTGTGACATTTAACCTTAAAAAGTGAAGTGTATAATTATGTTAAACACCATAACCAGTAATATTATTGCAAGGTGCACATTTTATGATGCAACAACCATTACGGTCAAGGTCTTTTTTCATCGAACATTCGTTACTTTGATACAATTTGCTACGAATTGAAATGCTGAATTTTTGTATTTATCTTTTTTTTATTTAAGTAAACAATTATGTAGTATTATCAAGTTAAATGTCCTTGGATAATCAATTGTTTGCTACGTAACCGTTATCACTGGGTCATGCAACCCATCTATTATTATAATTTACTACTCGTACGTAATTTCTATGATATAGTGACGCTTATATTATTAGTTATAAAGAGGGTTATATTGCAAATTACCGTTTATATACGGCCATATAACCTGCCCAGAAACTTTATAGCGAATAATTCATAAAAAATCTTTAATTTAATAAAAAACCGCGACGTTACATAAATGCAGTTTTATTATATAACCTATAGATAGCATATTACACGGCTGCTGTAAATTGGTGCATTTAATTTTTTTCTAAAAATGAAAGGAACTGTGCAGTATTATTGATTTTTAGAAAGGTTTTCAACAGGTTCGATGGTTGTGTATATTGGGTTGTTGGCTATATAACTTTTGCTTAGCATCTTGTAATATTTAAACTTGCAATCATTAATATAACATTATCAATATAAATGCACTTGGTTTACTGTACATTTTCACTCACAGCGTTCCAAACCGATCCGACCATATCCGCTTTGCTATGGACTTGCGTTACCAGTCACCAAATCGACCATGGGGATTTTTCGATAAAAGTAAGGGAATCCTTCTTCGATCTCCTTCGAAACCAGATCACGTGCCAGATTGGGAGTTCTATTCAACTCAAGGAAGATACGATATAATTAAAGAACTCGTCGTCGAAAAGACGGTAAAATTGTAGTTTAATGATATTTTCCTTAGTTTTCTCCCTTAGAAAAAAAAGTTTCTAATTTTTACTCTGCACTGGTCTCCCCTGATATGCAAGGAAACCGTGTTCGCTACATGGCTACAGTTGCCTACTAACAGTGCATGGAAAATACAAATTTAAGATACGTTTTACTGCAAATCGACAAAAATTCGAATAATAGAAAGTCGAATGGCAAGGGAAACTAATGGAAAAAGTTATTCATGTAACAATAAATCATGTTTATCTACCTTGATACAATTACTTATTCTTAACTTTTCGAAAAAAAGAAGAAGTGGAACTGTTGTCATGACCATCTCGTCGGCTTTGGCGTTTTCGTCGGTTAACCTTTTCGTGACTGCAAGATCGATTTTCTCAGAAACTATCAAAGCTATTCACTTCATACTGATTACAGTCATAAAAAGACGCTATTTCAAAAAGAAGATAATCTTCAAATTATTGTTTGCAAAGTTATGGTCCTTTTTTGTTACATTTATTTGACTATCCAGCAGCGCTCTGTCTGCGGACAGGTTTGTTATATTTAAAGCTGTTTGTAATATTGGGATTCAATCAATGGTAGAAGATATGGATAAACGACTGAGCTCGAATTATGTATCCTACGTTACTGTATTTAATCTTTCTTCTTCTGTGAGTTTGTTCGTGACCACTGTTTCTTGTGTGTGTTTCTTTTTCAGGGTCAAGGTGACAAGGACGATGAATTTGATACCACATTGACAGGACCTCACATGGATCGGTGGAAAATTGTTAATCATAGTATACATACAGAGACCTACCTTAAAGGCGCTCAGAAAGTATAAAAAACAATATCAGTCACGTGATAGTAACATAAAAAGAAAACAAAGCGCAAGACAAAATAGTTCATATCAACTGTGCCAGGTTTAATTTTCTGTTCAAGAAGTCTGTAAAAGTTTCATTATACAGAATCTTTGAATGTAAAGTGTGTGTACATGAAGACATTGAAGGCTTTGCGATAGAAATATTTGTTCGAAAGCAGACACTTTGTTAATTGTTTGTTTGCATGCAGTATAATGTCGTATCCGTTTTGTTTACTTCTTGTTCGCAATTACTATAACATCGAATTCGCTTTGTTGAATAGTTATGCCAGTCGTATAACGTCAAATTGGACATTCTATTAGATCAATACATTTTAATATATCTAAACACAGTGACTGATCAATACATTAAAAAAAACATGTTTTATCTGTGATATAAAATACACGTGTAATTCGTTACCCCTACAATCCACGAATCCTTCTCGGTGTGCATTCATGTGCAAAGAGAACTAACTCGTTCCCTAGTTTAACCTTCATTTGTACATGGTGTTTTACAATATATCATTTGATTTATAGTCAATTTAACAACATAAATACCCACTGAACTAAACACAATAAATTATAGAAACCATTCCCGCAATATTCCCTAATACCTTCTGCTTTCAGTTCTTACCAACATGTTTTCAAACAACATGATTTTCGTCTTTGTCCTACTCAATCAAGAACTTATTTTGGCTTTCTGTTAGTGGTTTCTGCAAGATTTCCTTCAATCGAATTTCAATGAAGTATGTTTATAACTGTATCAATATATCCCAAATTCACAACATAATCAATATAGCCAATTTTCGAAGTAGATCGCACACTGGTGTGCTGTAAAAAATAAACTTTTTCATTAAACATCAAAAGTATCTTCTGCTTATCGCTTTGCGCTTCTAGAGATATGTGGAAGCGCAAGATCCTAATAAAGCAATGAAACCAAAAAAATACATGGACATAGAAGACTTGGTTTGACCGAAAATTATGTTTAACAACCCCCTAGCACCGGGTTATGCAATATCCAATGTTTAAAGCAATGTTTAGCAATGAATATATTTATGAAAAAAAATAACAAAGCGAGTTAAGATACAGTCTAACTTGCCCATGCGACCACGTGTATGTTCAATTGTGTATGTAGGAAACGATATTTAATAGATAATAAGTACTATATCTGAATTGAATATGACCTTGGCCTCAATTTTTCTTAGTTTTTTAAGTTTTGTCCTTTACTATGCCATTTAGCTTCATATTTTTCTAGTTCCAAGATTTTTGGTAACAGAACTTAACATGTTGAAAATAAGTCTAATACCGCTAAAATTCTGAGTGTGAGTGATTTTGCAATATTTCATTTTTATCCCTCGTAAATAGATTCAATCAAACAAAGTCCCAAATTTTCATGTAATTTTGTTGTTTTCATCGCTACCGAAGATCACCCATTTTCAAGATTTGTTTTATCAATAGAACAAGAAACATCTGTCAAAAATGTTCAGCATTTTTCAAATATTTCTTCTTCTTTCCATTCATTAGCCGGCATTTTCAAAAGGGACGGAGGCAAACCTTTGTTATCATCGCTAGATTCTGAAATTAAGAAATAAAATATAATGCAATTACACAGTGGTACATGTATTTACCTACAGGAATCATAGAACAATCCTTAAAAAGTCAAACTTACAAAGGTGAAACTTCAACTATCACTCTATTAACAGTTAACATCAATTTCCATGTTGTGAAAACATGCAAGTTGCAATACTATTTGAAGGTAAGTCAGTTGCAATTTCCTATTGTTACTTTTATAATCGTTGTATTGACCAGGGATGCATATTTCACACATACGTTGAACTGCGAAAATAACCACATTGTAATGTAGATTCTATACATCTTTCTTGTTAGTATCTTCTTTTAAAAAAAACAATTTTAAGGCATTTTGGCTTGGTTGTTTCTTAAGTTTAAACAAATAACAATCACCCCTGTTCCTTGTGGTGTTAGCGGGCTCAGAAAAAAAATCAAACGGTCTAAAGGTTCTTGGGAAGGCTTCACCCCCTTAACCACCTTTTCTTTTAACGAATGATTCACGAGACAAACCTGAAGCAATGCTCTGCACGGAATTTCTTTTTCGCTCAAAGTAAGACGACATACGTTGATTTCCAGTTATATTCTCGTCAATAGAGCTTCTTTCTGTAGGATCTAAATTTCCACTGTCAAATTCGTTCTTGTCTAAAACCCAGTACGTCGTCATCTTAATAGTAGGCTAAAATCAGTACAGGGTGACATCCGGTTAGTAAATTGAAAAGCGAAACATAACAATTGATTCTTTCTACCATTTGGTTTTTAACTCGAAAGGCATAGACTAAAAGAGGTTAGCTTTATAGTAAATTTCGTTTGATTTAAACACAATTTAATCCGTTTTTCAGACTAACAAGAGCAGATGCCATTTGCATAAACATGATTGAAAATGAAGGAGGACTAGACCCTAGAAACCTTGTGTTCAGATATTAACGCGTTTATCAATCCTCAAGAAAACAGATGTATAAACCCGATAGGTACCATTACATATCATGAAAAACAAACAATAATGTTGAATTCAAACAATTACTTACAAACTGCTGGTATGTTCTTTTTCATTAGCTAAAACTAATATGACTATCATCAGGGTTATAAATACTGACGAAGATGGTGAGGATAAGTAGCTAAAAAACTTAAAGCCGTGTTACAAACTTTTCAAGCCTTTTAACCGTTTTAGAGATACTGACGAAATTCAAGTACTGCGTAGCTAGGTACTCCTACAAGTATTTCTTTATCAGTAAGAAAAAGCATGCCCTTTCCTGACAATCAAGGTCACAAACACAATTTAATGTTCAACAAACATGTGTCGAAGAGTAAAACCTTTAGAAAGCAACTTGTTAAAAACAAACAGGATGTTTTACCGAAACTTCAATAGTACCACGTATCCTCATTTTGAACTTTCCGCATTTCATCAGGCTACTAAACATTTGGTCGCTTACGTGAATTTTATTTGCTGAAAGTATAAATGTTAATAAATTGTATATATCTTTAGAAAAAAGAGAAATAAACTCTGGACTACACTGGAACATCGTCATTCCTTGAAATTTGACAACTTATGATACCAACATAATTATATTTTAGAACTTTTTTTTTATAAAGCTGTTATTGGTCGATACGTGCTGGTAAATCAAACTCCTTTTCGGTGATAATTATCATTTACATGTTATAAAACGACAAAAAGGCAAAGCAAGCGTAATGACTGGAATGCAAGACAACGCTTGTCACCCATCAATTGATATCATATGTTGCTGAAGAGATTTTGTCTTTGTAATGATTGTGTCAATATGAACACGGACAAACCAGACGGACTAGCTAGCGGTACTAACATTACATACAATGCTCAAAAATAAGAATTTCGTGACGACAAGATTCCTTGTCTTTAAAGCACTTTTATCACAATCTGGCGGATC